CAAGAAGACACACCTTCTCCAACAAGGCCATACCTCCTCCAGCAAGGCCACACCTCCCCCAAGAGGGCCACACCTCCTCCAAGGCCACACCTCTTTCAACAAGGCCAAACTTCCTATTAGTACCACTCCCTAAGGGCCCATGGGAGCCATGCTCATTCAGTTACCACATGTAACATCGTCTTGCCTCAGAATTAATTTTAAATGCTTTGTCCTGATTGTGCTGTTTAAAGGGATGAGGGAGAAAAGGAAAAGAAAGGAGAAATTCAGTAATTCTTTTAGAATTTTTTTTTCCTGGACAGGATCTCTAGCCCAGGCGGGATTTAACTTCTCCATGTAGCCAAGAAGGCCCTTGAATTTTACTTTCTCATAATGCCGGTTACAGCCTTTTTTTTTTGACGTGGGGGAGGGGGACTTTTTAAAGGAAGTTATCAGAAAGAAGCTTGATGATAATCTACAATTATTTCTACAGTAGTGTGTGTGACAGCTCCACACTGGGTGCAATTGTAAAATCCAATGTGAAGTTTGTGTTCAGGAATTGTGGTGCTGACAGTCAGAGTCATTCACAGTTGTTCTGAACAGTCGTTAAGATCATGTGACAGGAGATACTGGATGTTGAATCTGTTTAGAATACATTATAAAAAACACAAATTGCAAATCAATCTCTATCAAAGTATAGAGAACAGATTTGAAGAGTGTGTTGTAGCACAAGTAATAAAAACCCAGAGACAGAAATTGAGGTCCAACCTGAAAACCAGAAAAGCAAGGCAGCCAAGCCACTAGAGAAATCGTACCTCTACCAAGGCTGGGAGACCAAAGACTAAGCAGCCTTTGCCTCCCTCTCCTCCCATTTTTATTCCCTCTAGTGCTGGGATTAAAGGTGTGACTGACTCTCTAGGATTGAGATTAAAGGTGTAGGCCACCACCACCTGAATTTGTTTCTGCATTGATTTTGTGTAGCCCAGGGTGGCCTTGAACTCACAGAGATCCTTCTACCTCTGTCTCCTACATCCTGGGATAAAAGAGGTGGATCACCATTACCTGACCTCTAGTGGCTTCAGCTTTTCCTTTAATCTTCAGGAAAGATTTATTTATCAAAATGCAAATAATATGCCACTACAGTCTGTTCCAAAATATTAATTGGTTATCTCTGCATGTTAGGGTTTTCATGTTTTATTATTTTCAAAGGATTCATATATTGCTCACACATTTTGGAACATGCTGAGTTCTGTCCCATGCCATGCCCTGTCCTGCATATAAAATGTTTTTATTTTATAGTTGTCAGTGACTTTAGTGACTCCCATGTTCATAGAGGAGATATAGAGTTATAATATGGTTCGAAAGCTTTGACTGATGGTTGATTACTTCGTTTCTTTGGATTATGACAATTTTGAACTCAGTATTTAGTTGGCTAGTTATGATTGCAGATGACTATGCAATCTCAATGATTCTTTCAGAGAAATGGTATCTGATAGAAATAAAAGCTTTTTTTTCTGGTAATATGATTAGTATTCTCTTGATATATAAGTGTGTGTAATTATATATTCTAACAAACTAATATATATACTTTGATATGTATATGTATATATATATCTATATATCTATATATATGTATATCTGTGGAGGTTGAGAAATGCAGGCCTCTTTCTATCTTGTCTGACAGTCAGAGAGTTTGGAGATTGACAAACATAGTTGCAAACATAGTTGCTTGGTTCTTTTGAAGTTAAGATAGCTCCCTGCTATCCTGACAGGTGGTCAGGATATGCAAGTGTACTTCTGCTCCTTCTTTTGTAACTATGAGGTCACTTGGGGGAAGGGCAGTCTTCAGCATAAAGTAACCTAGAGCACCTTCACTACCTAGACAACAGGATGCTAATGATTGGATGTCTCAGAGTGTTAAAGCAATTGACTGTGTGAGTTAGCCTTTGTATCATGTTAATAAAGTCTTTTGTTACCTCCCCTCCATTTATGTTGGGTATAAAAACTGTGGAAGAATAAGCAGGCAGACTTCAATGCCCTCCCCATACTTTCTATGGTTTCTGTCCTGTTATTTATGCATCTTCATATTCTTTACTATATTTATAAAATTCCCACGCCCCTACCCTGGTAAGAAGTATTTTTGTCGAGGCCAGTCCTTGACATATAATTTTATATACATACACACACATATTCTAGCACCATCTGTACTGTCTTTTGAGTTTTAATGACAAAGTTAAAGTAATACTGATGCAATGTATTTCCAGTGCTTATTATACTATAAACAATCAGAATGCCCGGAAGCAGCTACAGCTGTAATTCTGAGGGTGAATTAGAAAATCGTGGTGCTCTAGCTGAAACTATTGCCAGTTGGATCTCTTACTAACATCCAGATAATCAAATGCAATATTTGAAGAGAGAGTGGAGCTAACAGAGACAGAAGTGAGATTAGGAGTAAATGCCATGAGTCCCTTTTGCCTGCTAAGGGTTCCAGCTGTCCATAAGTGACTCATGACTGACTGGTTCCTTGTGACTGGTTTTCAGGTTAGTGCACTGCTGCAGCAGAACTTTCGGTGTTACTGAGAGTGGTTCTGGGGTCGTGTGTGTGTGTGTGTGTGTGTGTGTGTGTGTGTGTATGTGTTCTTTTATTCTAAAATTCTCTGGGTAATTTTTTTAAGATTTATTTATCTATCTATTTATTTATTATGTATACAACATTCTGCCTCCATGTATGCCCACACGTCAGAAGAGGGCGCCAGATCTCATTACAGATGGTTGTGAGCCACCATGTGTTTTCTGGGAATTAAACTCAGGACCTCTGAAAGAGCAGCCAATGCTCTTAACCACTAAGTCAGATATCTCTCCAGTCCCTAATTTTGTTTTTAAAACTTGTATCTTTAAGAATTTGCTTGTATGTAACTATAAATTATTTTCTGTTAAACAGTGATTTAAAATGTATATTATTTAAGCTGTTGATTATAATCAGGACATGCTATTACATCAAATACTCTGAATACTATGATTTGAGTTTTTTCCCTTCTCTCTCTAGTAGGTAGAAACTATTTTAAAACCATAACATGGTTAGGGTTCATTAGTATTAGGTGTTAGGCATATTCTTAAGACAAGCCTCTCCACCAATGCAAATAATTCCAACCAGACCAAATTAGACCGAATAAAAGATGCCTACGTTTAATGCAGTGCTCCCGGGTGGCTGGGAGAGCATGGCAAGGGAAGAGAGAGAGAGAGAGAGAGAGAGAGAGAGAGAGAGAGAGATATTTAGCTTACCTGTCTTGGCAGGATAGGAAGATTGATTACTCAGGTGACATCCAGAAAGTTGAAGAGGTGAAAGGCTGCTTTTTGCTGTGTGGATGGCTTTGCCAAACCCAAAGGCAAGCCTGGAGGCAAAATGTCCTTTGCAACCATATATCTTCTTTGAGGAGCTATAGGGTGCTGCAGGAGCTGGCATGTCTCTTTTGTGTTAGAGGCTCTTTTGTTAAATGCCATATCCTCAGATCTGTAGCACTTGAGAATTGGGTACCATTACCTGTTATTTAAACTGGGCATATTTTAATAAATCAAAGAATACTAGCACACAAGGGTACTCTTACCCAAGATGGTGGTGGGGTCAAAATGGCAGTTACCCATGTGTTTGTATTTTTCTAGAGCTGTTTTAGTGTGGGGTTAGAAATTCTGCTGATCTTAAAATGAGTACACATGCACACAGAAACATAAATCAAGCATACTATGAGAACATACCCACAAAGTTACACAGACATACTGTGGCCACATTAGTCTAACAGACAGACAAATAAAACACTTTTAGAAACGTGTCAGCTGACCAACTTAAAAATCCTGGTGTAGGTAGGTGACAGAAGACAGGGAAGCTCAGCAAACAGCTTGAGAGGGAAGGGGAGGGACCCAGAGTGATCCTGGTGTAGTTAGGTGGCAGAAGCCAGGAGAGCCGAAGGACAGGGGGAAACCCCAGAGTGAGACAAACAGCAAATAGCTAGAGAACAGGAAGAAGGGAGAGCAGGGAGTGTGACAGAAGCACATTGCGGAAACCATGGGCTTTTGGAGTCTTGCTTATTTTACATTGCTTGTTATATAGCCCTAGTTTAAAAGGATTTTTGTAAAAGGCTGCCCAAGGGCGTTTGAGTAATCTGCTTTTAATAGCAAGAACCCATTAGAAGCCCATGCCTTTTGGGACTCAAACCTCTGGCAATGTGTCCATCAGACAGTGAGTGCTCTTGAGTCAAAACGGGTGCATGAGAAATGAGTGGCCGATGTCTCCAAATACCCAGGTCTCATCTCAGCTAAGCCTGGCTTAGCTGTGTGGGGTCAGGCTTTTGGCACGGCAGCTACTTCATCGGAAAGCCCAAAAATTGAGAAAAAATAAAGGTGCGCAAATGGGCCCCCTGGGGACCCTACTGGCCATGTACTCCAAAAGGGGAACTCACTGAGTTGAAGCCAATGTTAGCCTGGTGGAGAGCGTGCGAGAAGGGCATTTTCCCAGCACAAGAGGCTGGGCCTATGGGAAAAACAGACCCCCCTGGGTGGAAACCTCCATATATTAGGAATATTCCTAAGATGAGCCTCTCCGCTGAAGCAAATAATTCCAATCAAATCAAATTAGACCGAATAAAAGATGCCCACGTTTAATGCAGAGCTCCCAGGTGGCTGGGAGAGCATGGCGAGGGGAAGAGAGAGAGAGAGCAGGGGGGACTACACAGTACCCAAAGACCACGCGCGCGCGTTCCTTTTCTGGGTGGTAGCCTAAATAGCCTGTGGGAGTGGTCCATCGCTTGGCCGGCCTCTTTTGACCCTTCCTGGGGAGGGAGGGGGTCACTGCTTGGTGGGTTTTCCCGGAGGTGGAGTTCAGACCAATGCAACTTTCAGGGGGAGGAGGCTTCCAAAGATGGATGCCGAGTATTACATTGGATATATCACAATTTGCCCTCAGATTTAAAAAAGGATTAGAAATACTGTTATTTCAGAAATGTTAAATAAAATGCTCTATTCCTTTGCAGGTTTAATAGTGGATCCTTGAATGTTGAAGATGTTCTTACCAGCTTTGACAATACAGGAAATGTCTGTAAGTTATATGCTAACTGTAAAGTGTATTCAGTGCTTTAAAAAGCAAATTTTAGTTTTTAATTTGCTGTTTGTTATACTTACTGTGTATATATTTATATGTGTATGTGCACGCACACATAAATACATATATTCTTATGTATGTATATATACACATATACATACATATTAGAAACCCTTGGTGCTGTTAGCTGTAAATATGCCTCATAGGCAATGCATACTAAATGGTGTGTGGCAGTTTTCTCAGAAACTTTATGGCGATGTGTGTATTTGTGTGTGGGATGGAACATAGATCGGAAGGAAGTCTGGACTCTCCAGTACTGTTCCTTCTGTTTCTTGTTTCCATTAGGACTTTTTTGAATCAAGTTGTTGGTTTGCTTCTGCTGGCTTTGGGTGCTTTGCTTTATAAAACAGACTGGATATAGAACATGTTCTTCATGATACACTTAAAATCCAAGGTTTTGTTTATATAATATTACAGGATATATTATATTTTTGACTAAGCCTCTGATTAATTTGTGATCTATTTCTCTCATGATAGAAAAGAAATCATCCAAGAATATATCATGTCACAGTTAAGTAACATGATAAGAGCTGTGTGTGTCCTCTAACTTGTTGCACAGGATACTTATCAAAATAATGAATCAATAGTAAAATATGACCATTTCAGATTTAAAAAGAACTCAATTTTTTTCTTCAGAGGATATATATAATAAATTATTATCTATACTTAAATGATAAATTTTGCATTTAGAATTGTTTTACCAAATGGATGGATTTGAATTGAATAATGTGTAATAATAGATGTTAATTTTGTTCTCTGACCACATTTTGATTAGCTCTTGCTTGTATAGAAAAGTTATATTTTGTCACTAAGGAGTCTGTAAGTGTTCTAAAATTATCCTAAAATATTGAAAATGATGGAGGTTTCTTTTGCATGGATAGTAATAGGTTACCTTTTAGTTTATGTGTTTTGGCTTTTACTGAATTCTGACTTGGGTGTACCTTGTAGTTTTGCTGGGAGCTAGGCAAGGAACGGTGAAGGAATACTATGAGAGTATGCTGGAATAATGTTAAATATCCTTAAGTCAGTCTTGTGCACACACAGGTTTAGAACATGATCCTGGAATGTGAAGTAGAGAAGTTTTAGTTTAGTAGCCTAGAACAAGTATTGTTTTCCTGACTCAGTACGACCTAGGGCCACTAGCTGGCAGCACTACATGCGATAAAGGTAGTTCCTAATGGTCCAAATTGTTATTTCACATGTGAATAATGTCTTATTCTTCTTCACCATTTTTTCCACCACCACAGCCCCATGTTGTTGCACTGATAAATGGAGAGATTGTGTGTTGAGAATGTTTCTTTCCACCGTCTGTTGTTTGGTAGGAAATCAGAATGAGTGAGACACATCTACAATGGAATCCTCACTCAGAATTTACCTTAAGCAATTCATATATGTAGTCTCTGTGGACTTGTACTTTATTCACTTTTAAAGACTGCACAGACACCAGAGAGAACCCTATTTCTCACAGCTAATACTCAATAGGTGGAAACTAGTTATTTATTTATTTATTGCTCTGGTATCGCTCCTTTTCATATTTGTTTATAAATGTGAACACTTTATGTTGTTAAGGATTAATTTAAAATAAATTTAAGTTGAAAGGAGACCCTAAAAATTATTTTGATATTTTAAAATGAACTATTTTGATTGAACTAAAAAGCCAGAAAGATTAGATAAAAAGCTAAATTGCTTATCAAAATGCATTATCACAATAGAAACTTAAGAGCCTGAAAATATTGCCAAGTGGCAGCTATAGTAACAGAAACAAGGTATATCAAGACTTCTTTTCCTCTGTAACTTTTTTGGCATGCGAGTGCCTGCGTGGCATGTGTGGTGTGTGTGTGTACGTTCCTGGGAGTATGTGTGTATGCATGTGTGTGGAGGCCTGAGGTTGGGGTCAGGAGCTGAGGTCAGGAGCCTTCCGCTATTGTTGGTCCCTACCTATTCACTGAAGCAAGGTCTCATAACAGAACCCAGAGCTACCCAGCTAGTCTTGGGGCCTTCCTGAGTGATAGTGTCACAGTTAGAGATGAGCCACCAGGCCCAGCTGCTGCTTACATGAGTTAGACCTGGGACACTAGGCCCAGCTGCCATTTCCATGGGTTCTGGGGAATTGAACTGAGGTCCTTGTGAGTGTGCAGCAGGTACATTCTCCACCGAGCCATGGCCCAGTCCTTCTGCAACATTTTACTCTCTAGTGTTTGTACATGTGGAGCATATTGTCTCTCATCCTCCCCTCCTGTCTTTGTTCCTGCCCCTCTTGTCTGCTCTTAGTTCCTTTTGCCCTCCTGGACAGTTGTACTTCCACATCATAGATGCATCTATAATTTATGTGACCATGTATTTATTCTTCAAGAGAAACATCTATTGAAATTTTACTTAATGGACAAATAGGTCAAGTCTTATTTCAGCAAAGTAAATACTAGTTACAGCTTTCGTATAATTGTCATCTTAAAGTGCTCATGGACAAAAAAGTAGTTTTTCACTTGATACTTAAAAGTCTTCTTGAAGTGTTGCTAGGTTGCCTTTGTGAGCTGAAAGCCCAGCAGAGGGCGCTACAAGCATAATTCTCTTTAGAGCACAGTATAATCAGTGCGTCATGAATAATAACTAAGCTTTCTCTGTATAAACATTTGAGATGTGTTTACGTTCATTGATTTATTTCTAGTATAATGCATTTGCCAATCATTAATATAAAGCTTTTCCTTATCTTTGAATATATTTTGTTTTTGTTTGAAATGTCAGGTTTTGTCTTTCTAGCTTTAAGTAAAGGAGTGGTTCTGATCCTTTAATCCTGATAGGGCCTTGAAGTTATGCCCAGGAATACCAGTTCCTATAGAACTCGTGCGCAAATGCCAGGGGATAGTTACAATGAGGAAAGAAGCTTTTCAGGATAGAAATGATGGGCACAATTACTTATGTTCTTCAACGTAATATTACTTGTAATAAAAACAATTGAAATAGTTGTGCATGCCCAGTGAGCACAGCGCGCGTCATGTAGTGGAGTTGTCGTCTCATGCTCGTCGTATGCTTTTAGAGATAAAATGAATACTAGTCCCTGAATTTCCAAGAAGATATGAAAAAATCTCCCTAATTTTGGGAAATAATTGTAATATAATTTTATTACATTAAAAAAATATTAAAAAAATATAATTTTTTTATTTCCTAATATATTTGAAAAGAAAATAGTCTTTGTACTTGCTTTCATTATTTATGCTTTGTATGTAAACATCCAACCTTAAAATGGTTTATAATCTTGAGATAGATTTTCACTAACTGACTTTTATTCAATGATGTAATAGGAAATTAAAATGGATTTGGTGGGCTGGACATGGTATGTAGTGGTAGAGTGTTTGCCTACTATTTGCAAGTACCTAGGTTTGACTTTTCACTGCAGAAAGAAACAAAAGTTTCATGCAGAATTCATCATTTCTACATCCTGACTTATTGTTGTAGGACCCCAACACTGTGTTTGTGTATTTCTTTCGGCTTTTGTGGAAAGCATACTGTGTTAGTCACCCTCCCTAAGGCTAGGCATGTCTGTTTCATTCATTGGTTCCCACTACTCAAGAGCATCCTTCCTGAGATACCCAGACTGCTCTGCAGAGAGGATGTGCTCAGTACCAACCCATGGTGTGAGCTAGGGAGAAGTGAGGCCAGTGAGGGTTGCTTCCACGTTTGGCTCAGATACCCGGCCTACAGAGCATCTGTCAGGGAGCACCCAGCTGTCTTCCTGCTTCTGTTTTCCTGTGGGCAGAATTTTCTTTCCTTCCTGCCAGTCCCCCGACCTCTCATCAGAGAAGCCCCACTGTTCCGTTTCTCTAATTCTTTTTTCAAAACTTATCCCTGTCTTCTACTGAAATGAATTTTCTTTGTTCTTTTGTTTTGTTTTTGGAGGCAGGGTCTTTCTTTGTAGTCTAGTCTGTCCTGGAACTCACTCTGTCGACCAGGCTGGACTTGAACTCACAGAGATCATCCTGCCCCTACCTCCCAAGTGCTGGGCTTACAGACATGTGCCACCAATACCCAACTCACTTGCATATTCTTAAAGCATATTCTCTTTTGACAGCCTGAATAGATGAATCACTATTTCCCATATCATTTATTGCATGTTCACAGAGCATATATACATATAAGTAGTATTGTATAATTTAATAATTTAATTTAATAATAATTCTGCACTAACTAGGAATATAGAAATAATGAGAATTCAGAAATAATTTATAAATGTAGTCTTTTATATAATGTTTATGTTATCACATATATTATATGTAATGTACATTAGCCAATAGTCGTTATATATTATTGCAATATTTTCCTGCTAGTCAGAATTTTTTTTTTGAAAGTAATTTTATTAAATTATGAAAGTTTCCATTTCCGCCCCTCCTCCCACCACCCTCCCACTCCCCCCACTCCCTCTCCTCCTCCCTCTCCATCCCTAAGAGCAGTCAGGGTTTCCTGCTTTGTGGGAAGTTCAAGTTCCTCCCCCCCTCCCTCCAGGTCCAGGAAGGTGAGTGTCCAGACAGACTGGATCCGCAAAATCCAGTATATGCAGAGGAAACAAGTCCCAGTGCCATTGTCAATGGCTTTTCAGAAAGACTCTGGGCCAGCCACATTCAGAGAATCCGGCCACATTCAGAGAATCTGTTTGGATCGCGTCCTTGTTCAGTCTCAGTCCAACTGGCCTTGGTAGACTCTCATTAGATCCGTCCCCTTGTATCAGTGGGTGATCGCATCCCTCGCAGTCCTTATTTCCTTTTTCATTTTCTTCATCCTTCTGCTCCTCATTTGGACCTTGGGGGGCTCAGTCCGGTGCTCCAATGTGGGTCTCCGTCTGTATCGCCATCCATCGTCGGATGAAGGTTCTATGGTGATAAGCAACAACTAAAAATGTTACAGCTTTATTTTAGGGACTATATAGTAAAACCCGTTCTGCCGTT